GTATGACTTTGGGGCCTCTACATGCCTTTGAGTTTCACCAGCATTGCTCTTCTGAGGTCCCTTGAGCATGATGTAATAAAATCAAGGGTTTTCTGCTAGGAGCAGAGGGCAGTTATGCAACACAGGATGAAATCAGAACTGAGTCCCAGAAAGGGAAGTTACCCAGAGTTGCTGTAGCTTTCCAGTCTTCTGTGGGAGGGCAAGCCCACGGCTTCCTGCTCCAGAGAAAACAGCCTGGGCTATAATGGGCCAAGGATGCTTAGCCTTCGCTTTGGTGTCCCTTGCTTGAGAGTTGGGATGTTACGCTTTGTGCTTCTTTAGAAGCACTTGAACCCCCGGCAGCCTTATCAGCGGAACCACCTGCTAGAATTATCGGCCAAAGGGAGCCAGCAAGTATTGGTTGTCCCGGGCCAACCCGGGACTAGCTGTGAAGGCAAAAATTTCCTTTGCTAGATGGGGGTGGGCGGGAGGGGTTGGGCAGTGAGGGCAGAAAGATAGGGGTAAAGGTGCTAACTCTGATTCTCTCCCCAGCTCCACCCCCAGCACTATTCTAGTCCCTTGAGCACTGCCACGTAGGGCCCCTTGCTCCCCAAGTGGAGTGTGGGGGATGTACGCAGGGCTACTTCTTAGTTTGTCATCACAGATTATCGGATTTTTGCTCTGGGGCCCCATCAGTGGTCTGGGCAGCTCCTGGCTGTGTTGGGGCCTGTGCCCAGTCCAGAGCTCTCTCCCCTGCCCTCCTCATGATTAACTTTATCTGTTGCTTTGAATCTAGTCCCCTTCAGACAGCGGGAGAGTTCCATGACTTACTACTAAGAAGTTTTCATGAATTCTAAAGCAAGGCTCATTTTCAGTATTGAGCAAAAGTTTCTGTTTAATATTTTGCCGCTTCGTATGTCTCCTTTCCTCCAAAATTAGACTTCCCTAAAAGTTTAAGTTGGTTCGGAGTAGGTTTTGACTATTGTTATACCTTAATCATGTAGCACTGTAGCACTGTCCTCCAGTTGTTCATTGATTTGCTCGAATGGGCGCCGGTAACGTCTCCATTGTGAGACTTGTTGTTACTGTTTTGCATATCAAATACGTCACAGGTAGCTTGCCAGGCTCTGCCATGCAGCCAGAATACTCTCGGTAGCTTGCCAGGCTCTCTAAGAGGGGTGAAGGGATCAAACCCAGGTCGGCCGCGTGCAGGGCAAACGCCCTGCCCGCTATGCTATAATATTGATTATTGTTTAGCTTTTTAATCTTTGGCATAACATATAAAAGGTGTATGTGTTTTGTGAATTTGTGTTTTGGTGATAAGTATTTGTGTAATAAGTCATGTTTATGTGACAAGTGTTTGTGTATAGGTTGTGTTTATGTAATTAAAGGAGTATGTTTTGGGTAATAAGTACCCTATTACAGCCACTAGTCTCTTCATGTGAATGTGGGATACCATGAACAGGGACCCATAGTATCTGCCTCTCAAGATATTTCTTCTACTCAGCTTCTTTAGAATCTGATTTTCAGTAAAAACAGAATATTCTGCCTTGAGGGCAGTTCTGTGCTGGGCCAGGTATCTGTGTTTGTGTGCTCATCCATCTGTCCTGAAGCCTAAAGAAATGAGCACTTTGTCCATACCAAATCAGTCAACTGAAAATAAATTTGGAAAGTCCAGAATTAAATGTGTGAGAAGAGATCAAGCTGGGGAGGGAGCCTGTGCCTTCACGTCGAGGAGTCCCGTACAGAAACAGAGGACTGACGTCCTTGGTAAGAAGGAAGCGGGCCTCAGTGTGGGGAGGTTTAGTGAGTGGCCGAACTTTACCTAGCAGGTGACACACAGCAGTTCACCCCTGGTGCCACATGCTCCCCTGCCCCAGCACTACCAAGTGTGACCCTTGTTAAATAGAAAACTGTACATTCTAACAAGATAATGCTGGCAGCACTAAAAAGTGGGCAAAGCATTGAGACAGGTTACAGGGATTTAGGTTAGGTAAGTAGAAACAAGAAGCCAGATGACAGTGCAGCAGATAGGGCACTCGCTTTGCACACGGTCCACCTAGAGTCGATCCCAAGCACTGCCACATGTGACCGCAATACAAAAAATTAAAATAAAACTTTTGTGTAGAAACATGACAATACCTTAGCAGCCTGGCAGGTTTTCTGACAGCTGAGCTTGCTGGTGTTGCTGTGAATGCAGCCCTGAGGCCGACTGTGTAGCTGTGATCTTTCCTGGAAGCCGTTTAACAGCCTATGTAAGGGCTATTTTATTTTACTGTTACTGTGACAGTTGGAATCACACCTGAATGTACTTTTGGAGTGAGGGGAATCGAACTGTCCATGTATGTGAAGGGTCTCTGGTAGTGGAAGGAGGTCCTGCTCTTAATTCTCATTGCAATATCCCACACACCTGCCTCTCTCACTGTCACTCTTGTGAAGTAGGAGGTCAGGAAAGAAACGCTGTCTTCTGGTGGGGGCGGGAGAAGGGGCGGTGTGTAGTTTTTTGGTGCTGTGGATTGAACCTCAGGCCTCATTACTAACAACACATGTACTCGGACCTGAGCTGCATTCCTGATTGCTGGCTGAGAAACTCTTTACTCTGTGTGTGTGTGTGTGTGTGTGTGTGTGTGTGTGTGTGTACTTTACATGGCTTCATGCCTCTCCCTGTCCTCAGCTGTGCTGTGCAAGGTCACAGCTGGGTTCTCATTCATATTCTTTATATGCTCTTGATTGATCTTGCCCACTTTGAAAAGCTGTCTTATCACTGAATTGCAGGGATAAATACTTCTAGAAAGGTAATACCATTGTGAGTTACCAGTAAATGAGTTTTACACATAGATACGTAGACTCCTTTAATTGTATCTGAGTTTTAAATCTCTCAGATTTCCACTTAAAAGTAACTGGGAATGCAAAATGCAATTGAAAGAAATGAGACAGCTTCTAACAAGATCCCTATGCTGTGAAAGAGTCTGTGAAAGAAGGAAGAGAGTGTGTGTGTGTGTGTATGTGTGTGTGTGTGTGTGAGAGAGAGAGAGAGAGAGAGAGAGAGAGAAAGAGAGAGAGAGAGAGAGATGGGGTGTGGGTTAGTTGCCATTGTATGAGGGAAAAAGGGACGGTTGGGCTGTTGTTTCCACCCTATTTGTTGCTGTGTCTGTCGTGATTCTTCTTTCCCTTACACCTCCTTTTTTTCTAGGGTCAGACAGGAATCAGACCAGGGGATTTACCCTTGTGTTTGTTCTACCACTGTGCCATATCTTAGCCCCCTGCAGTCGTTTTTGATTTTGAAGGTAATGGAAACAGGGATGGCATTGTAGTCCAGCAGTGGAGTACTTGTCTTGCATGTGTGAGGCCCTGGGTTTGATCAAATTAGTATACAAAGCAAGAAGAATCAGTATCTCCAGTATCTCTCTCTCTCTCTCTCTCTCTTTTCTCTCTCTTTTTTTTTTTGGGTCACACCCGCTGATGCACAGGGGTTACTCCTGGCTCTGGCTCTGCACTCAGGAATTACTCCTGGCGGTGCTCGGGGGACCATATGGGATGCTGGCTGGGAATCAAACCTGGGTCAGCCGTGTGCAAGGTAAACGCCCTACCCACTGTGCTATTGCTCCAGCCCCCAGTATCTCTTTAAAAAGGGAGAAGTGACTTAATATATTTTTTGGGGGGGGGTCACACCCAGTGATGCACAGGGGTTACTCCTGGCTTGTACTCAGGAGTCACCACTGGCGGTGCTCAGGGGACCATATGGGATGCTGTGAATCAAGCCCGGGTTGGCCACGTGCAAGGCAAATGCCCTACCCGCTGTGCTATCTCTCCAGCCCCCGACTTAATATTTTTTTGTTTATTTTGGGTTTAGGGCTACACCTGTTGGTGCTCAGGGCCTATTTCTGGCTCTGAGCTCAGGGGACACTCCTGACTGGACTTGGGGGTCCATATGTAGTGCTGGGATCAGACTTTGGGTGGCTGCAGGTAGGGCAGGTGCCCTACCTGCTGTACCTTCTGGCACACGAACTGGTAGAATATTTAAGCACATACAACTTAATGCCCATTACATTTTATTAATACAAAGAAGTTCCACTAGAAGCATTGTTGCCAATATAAATCTAAATACTGGTGACCGTTTTCTTTTTTGGAGGGTGACCCCAGTATGGAATTCAGGAGATTTAGTTATTCCACTATTTGCTCTAGGGTCAGTAGCAGGTCTTTGTGCTGAAGGACCCAGCAGCACAAACCCCACCTTGAAGGAAGTGCTTCACAGAAAATTCCTAAAGTCAGGTCTTTTGAAACTGACTTTGCCTTGGGGGTTTGACTTTAAAAAATCCTGCTTAGCTGTCCCAGTGCTTTGAAGTCAGATTCTCAGCTTTCTGTTCCTGTTCTTTCACAATCCTGCTTTGTTCCTGCTGGTACTGGTCTGGGGCCCCACCCTGCCCTTGTTTGCAGCTGGTCACTGAGCTTTTGATAAAGGCCTTCAACTCTCCATGTTTTCACCCTGCGTCCACTGGGCTAAGCATGACTAGTTTCTATTCTGCTGGCATGGTTGAAAATTGTGTCTGTGTAAGTGAAGGATGAAAGATAATTTCCAGACAGCATTGGAGGTAAAGTGTACCCCCTTCTTTGTCAGCTGGGGGAGATGAGGAGGGTAAAGGTAATACCCACACAGCAGGGCTCTAGTGAAACATGTAGCCAAAGCCTAGGAGGAAGCCAGCTCTAGCTCTGGGCTCCTGGTAGGGCCTGGCCACTGGATCGTGCCCCCTCATGTTGGAAAGAGAAATGGGCAGGTTCTTTGATTGTCTGGGACACATCAGTGTTGGCATTATATGCTTTGGGACTGAGTGTTTCAGCAAGGTTGTGGGATTAGGGAGGAACTCAGGGAGTGCTGTTCCCAAGCTTGATGGTCCGGCAGCCCTGGAATCACTGGCCATTCTGCTTCCCCTAAGCATGAGAGGGACTGAGGGATGCATTAGAGGGCACTTTCTCCACCAGTCTAATGGCATTTTTCACTCAGAGTGTCTCTTTTTCTTTAGAGTAAGCCCCAGTCTCCAAAGAGCATCACTTCCCTTCCGCCTTTCTCTCACGGCTCCAAAGAAAATGGGATCCATGAAGAGCAAGACCGAGAGCCTCAGGACCTCTTTGCAGGCAAGTGCAGATTCAGCGGGTGTTTAGTTTTGATGTTATATGTGCCCCTATAAAAATGTGATACAATTGTTAAATAATGAGACGAACGTGATCAGAAGAACAATTAGAAATACTGAGTTGGGTCCTTGGACTGAGTGCCTCTCTTCCGATCATGAAACCAGCTGCCATCCGCATGTACTGAGCACAGCCTGCCTGATTGCTCAGCCAGAGGCCTTACCCTGCTACGGAGTGTGCGGTTTCTGGAACACGCCAGCCGAGATGTGTGAGCACTGTGGCCTGCAGTGCAGCCCGTGGGAGTACTGCAGCTAAAGCCTGACCCAGACTAGCACCACCTACGAGAACGTACAACACTGCAGAGAGAAAGGGTGCCGCGGCAGCCACAGAACCCTTTCATTTCATTCAGAGCATCTCTTTCTCTTTAGAGTAAGCCTCAGTCTCCAGAGAACATCGCTTTCCTGCTGCCCATCATCTGTACTTCCTGCTATGCTTCACACCTCCATGCCAGCCAGGGTCAGGCCGTATTATCACCTCCTTCTTCCTTCATAGTGTCTGGATTCAGTGACTCCCGTTTTGTGATACCTTGCAACCTCCTGGGCCAGTTTAATCCTAGGAACAAAATAGATTTTCTTTCATTTCCCAAAGGCTACGATTGAATGCTTATTGACTAGATAAAATCCTAATGGATACTTATGTTTTCACTTATTAAAATGAAAAAAGAAACAACTGTTTAGGTTTTGAGCATCTTTGCATTGTTGCTCCAAATTAAAAGTGTATTCTTATTTCCCAGGAAAATGATGATGCCTAAAAAGAGTGCATTTTTCAAAGATTCCTTTCTAAGTCTCTAGAACACTTGGGAATGAGTTATTCTGCTTAACTGAGATTTTCCCAGAGAGACCAAGGGAGCTCTTAAGGACTATTTTTTTAGAACTTTTCAGTTGAAAGGTACAGACATCACACATCTTTTTTATCCCTGTTGGGCAACATATATTAAATATTAATCTTTCCAAGGTCGTGGGCTAGAGTGATAGTGCAACAGGAAGGGTACTTGCCTTGCACATGACGGACCCAGGTTCAATCCCCGACATCCCATATAGCTCCCTGAGCATTGTCAGGAGTGATTCTGAATGCAGAGCCAGGAAGAGTAAGTCCTGAACACCAGTGGGTGTGACCCCAAAACAACCTCCTCCCCCCAAAAAAAAAGCCCAAGGTGATCTCAAGCTATAGCTGTAACAACAGTTTTAAGCTGCTCAGAGAACAGTGCTTTTTACTGTGTGTTCATGTATTGGTTTCATTTTTCCTGACTTTTCATTTGCTGTAGTTCTCTCACTTTCTTTTGTTCCCAGTATCCCTGCCTCTTCTGTTTTGCAGGCTTATAGCAGATTTCCACAAGAATAAATAGGCTTCTTACAGGTCCTAAAGGAAGACCTATATGAACCCTATTATTGTAGAAAACTCTGGAGCATCACAAAGGAATACTCCTCAGTAGAATTAATTAGGACACTTATTTTAATTGCATACTTTCTGCTTCACCCCTGGTTCTTTTATTTATTTATTTATTTAAAAATTTTTATTAGTGGAACACCATAAGGTACAGTTGTAGACTTACAAATTTTTGTGCTTGGATTTCAATTATACAATGATCAAATACCCATCTCTCCAAAAGTGCCCATTTTCCACCACCACGGATCCCAGTATCCCTCCCACCCCCCATCCTCCTCATCCCACCCTGCCTCTGTGGCAGGGCATTCCCTTTTGTTCTCTCTCTCCTTTTGTTCACCCCTGGTTCTTCCCCTAGTCTCAGGAAGGAGCGGGCAGCCCGGGACTGTATTTGGAAAGGAGTAAAGCACTCTGCTCCGTCCATATCAGAAGAGTACCCCTTGACTTTTCCTGTAATCTGAGAATCTCACGGTATCGAGGGTGGTTGCCGCTGTTTTTATCTCTTGCATAAAACTGAGTTTGGCCATCGTGGCCCCATCATCAACCTTCCTTTTAAAATGATACTATACTTAGATGCCACTGTGGAACTATCCCTGGACAGCACACAGAATAATCAGAAGATGCCAGCCAGAACGCTCAGTTCTCCGTCACAGGAAGCCACAAATTCTTCTAAGCTCCACTTACCCAGCTATGAGGAGGTGAGAATCTGTCCTGTTTGTCTGATTTCTTTTCTGTCTTTAAGCGGGGATATTCCTGGGGCCCCACCCACAGGGATGCAGTCTAGTCCTAGCCTTATTAGTCTTCATTATTTTGGATTTCTAGCACTGCTGCAGCCTGTTCTGTTGCTGATGAGCCTTGAGAGAAAGCATGACTGACTGGTGTCGGAAATCCTTCTGGTCCCGGATAGCCCGGATCCAGTGAAGGGTGCCTCTTGGGCAGAGTCTGTGTTGGCCAGAGATCACATACAGAAACCAAGAAAGATGGCTGCCAGTGATACCATTATCCTTCGGGAGACTGGCATCTCCTCATTCCCTCCTTAACTTGTCAGCGGCAACTCATCTCACATCTAGCAATTTGTCATTGCTCAAAATAAGATATTAGGAGAACAGACCCATCAGAGACTGTTGGGTAGGCTCTGGTTTATATCTTGGGAGTAGGCTTCTGGGGATTGTTGAGAATAGACAGAACTGAATGCTGATGCCTAACAGGACCCATGGTTTTTTTTTTTTTTTTACTGAAGTATTTTTTAAAAATTTTTTTAAATTTTTTTTTTATTAGTGAAACACCATGAGGTACAGTTGTAGATTTACAGTTTTTTGTGCTTGGGTTTGATTATACAATGATCAGATACCCATCCCTCCACCAGTGCCCATTTTCCACCACCATGGATAATATCCCCCCCACCCCCACCCCCCCCATCCCCCACCCCCCGCCTCTGTGGCAGGGCAATCCCCTGTGTTCTCTCTCTCCTTTTGGGTGTTGTGGTCTGCAAAAGAGGCATTGAGTGGCAAACATGTTCAGTCCATAGTCCATTTTCGACATGCATCTCCCCTCCTGGGAGGATCCTCCAAACACCCTTTATTTGGTGTTCCCTTCTCTATCTGAGCTGCCCTTTCCTCTAGAATGCCCGACTGGCCACTAAGCTATGGAGTAATCCTCCTGGTGCTGATCTCAGCTATTCTTGGGTATTAATCTCATATTTTGTTACTTTATAGGACCCATGTTTTTAAGAATGGATCTAAACTATGCTGCCTTGCCGAAGGGCTAACATAGGGTACAATTAGTAGACTTTTCTTTGTGTCAACTCTCATGATTTGTCTTCTCTTTGAAAAGCTAGAGGAAGAAGAACAGGAAGATGACTTTGATTTGACAGTTGGCATTACTGACCCTGAGAAGATAGGTCAGTATTCTTGAAATCTTCTGTGGTGTGAGTGTGAAAAGTCTGGGCAGCTTTTCTAAGTGGTTCTGTGTCTGTCCTATAGCATCACTGTTGAGCTCGGTGGGCAGCTCAAAGCACTGGAGCATTTGCCTTGCTGTGTAAGGTCCAGTTCAGTCCTCAGCACCATGTCTCCCGCCACCCCCAAGTCCCCCCAGCGCTACTAAGAATAGCCGAGTAGCCCTAGTGACCCCAGAGCAGTGCCTGGCAGCTCTGGCACTGCTGGGCCTGAGCAGGCCTACAGCTCTGTCCCCCCGGGCCTCAGGAGCATGATTGGGAGTGACCAGTAGTCACCCCCCCCCCCCCCCTTATAGAGCACCTGCTGTGCTTCTGAGACCAGGAGACCATATTTTATATACTTTTCTTTAGGAAGAAAAATTGAAGGCATTGGTACCTAGAATTCTTTTATAGAACTCTAGCGTTGCTTTCCCAGCCTCTCCTTTACAGATTATAGGCTCCACTAAAATATTCCAGAAACACAATTTCTGAATTAAGGGGTTTTGTATTTTCACTCATTGAATTTGGAGTTTTTTTCAAGAATCATGTATCACATACTCCAGATATCTTATGAAGTAGGTAAATTCACATCTATCCTAGGTACAGACTAAGGACCTAATTGGAAGGAGGAAGCGGAAAGCCCAGGTTCGATTTCTGCCACTTCTTGGCCTCCCATCAGTGTCAGGAGCAACATGGAGCGGCCACCCAACAGACGAAGTTCTCTATAGAACTAGGCAGTTATACATAAATATTACTGATTATTTTATTCAGCATGATATTTGAACCAACAGTTGGCAGAACTTACTAGTTGTCTGGGGCCTCTGACTAACTCCCACACACTGATACCCCTGCATTCGCATCCACTCCCAGGAGCCTGAAGCTGGCTCAGCAAGGGTGTGCTCCTCTCCGGCCCCAGCAGCCACCGTCCCTGGCCCTCCCCCAGCTCCCATGGCCTTGGGTTTGCTTGTCTCACAGGACTCTTATTCTGCCTCTTGTTTTGTTTTGCTCTGGGGCCACAACTGGCAGTGCTATAAACGCTCTTTCTGTCTTGGGGTCACTCTTGTGCCCAGGGTCATTCCAGGCAGTGCCAGGAGTTGAGCCTGGCATACACTCCAGCCCATTGGGCACCACATTCTCCTGGGCTCTTCGTGTCATCTTCCTCCTACCCAAGTCTTGTCTCTATGCCCAAACTCTCCCTTTACAGGAACATGGTTGCATTGAACCAGCCCACCCTAATGACCTCATTTTTATTTGATTACTTCTATAAAGACTCTTGTTTTCAAATAAGGTCACAATCTGTGCTACTATGGTCTAGGACTTTTTAAGAGGACACAGTCCATCTCATAAAAGTAATTCACACGTCCTTTGGATCAGCTCTATTTAAACACAGAGTGTACTTGACGGTAAGCTTCTATCCCTATGCACCAGCGTCTGTTTTCTTAGTCACATTGGTGCCGAGAAAACAGCTACTTTAAAGCATGTTCATGTTCAGGGCCTGATCCTACAGTACCTGTGTCTTTAGTAGTGTCAAGCAATATATAGTATAAGTTCAGACTAGAACCCCGAGTCGATTACTCCATTTTATGTATTCTCTTTTGGTCAGGGTTGAGAAGTAAAGATGACAGGTTCTCTCTCCCATGTCCCCTTCATGAGAAGTAGGGATTTCAGCCACCACAGTGCAGTGTGACTCTTCTCCTAGGCCCTCACCCAAAGAAGAGTTTGGGAGTGTTAACAGCTGGTCATTGGTTTCCTGTTGGTGAGCGGAAGAGATAAAGGAGTGGAGAGGTAGGGAAGGGAACAGTCCTAGCCCCGGCGTCTTCCCTGAAGCTGTGTCTATCCAGTGCATATCTTTCTAGTGCTGGGAGAGTCAATGGTGCAATTATGTTCCAAAGTGGTTGGGTCAGAACTCAACCAAAGAGGAAGACAATTGCCTAAATCCCAAATTATGTAACAGTGAAAGACTTTTAGAAAACTAATTCCTCCAGGAAAAGGAGGTTTGTGTGACATCAGAGAGCCAGTCTCTTCCTGCCAGGTCCTTTGCTCTAGGCAAGCCTGCGAGATGAGAGAGGTCAGTGTCCTTCAGGAGGGGCTGGGGCAGCGGTTCTGAAAGAGCCCCCTGGGCCCAGAGCCAGCCGAGGCAGAACTGCTTGTTTCCTTTGACATCAGTTGCTTCCTTCTCCTTCTCCTGCTGTATACAGCAAGAGGATTGTTTGGTTTGGGGCAGATGTGTATAACCAGCCCAAATATTGGCATGGTAACAACCAGTGGATTGTCAGTATCTGCTGCTGCTTTGTGGCGGTTATAAATGGAATCCCGTTCTAGAACAGGGGCTCTCTTGCTCATACTGGGCTCGGCCAGCACTGTGGGGCCACAAGACTCACCATGAGGCCTTGTGGCAAAGTCCAAAGCGGATCACAGGGTAGTATAGAAAGCTTGGAGATGCGGCAGGGATCCTTGGGTGGGTTCCTGGTTAACAATGAATAGGATGGACAAGCTATGGCTTCCAGCTAATTCCTCTACTTGCTTATTCTCCCACAGGGGACGGTATGAATGCCTATGTAGCCTACAAAGTCACAACGCAGGTAAGTCCCGGGGTCCTTCTGGAACCCCTGTCATAGACTTAAGCATATATGCCAAGAAGGTCATTGTTCAGGTGATTTCTGGGTATCTCTGTGGCCTCTCTGAGCCAGCCTGCCCTCCCCACGGGAGTCTCATCTGAGCTTCTTTCAAAAGGCTGACCCTTGGCTGTCATGCCTTGTAAGCCCTCTTCTGAGCAGTGTGCTGAGGGGCTGTCACACTTAGGAGCTGCGTGCCCACACTAACCACCTGCTTAAAAATAGCCAGCTTTTCTGAGGTTTCCTCTAAGGAGCTTTTTAGAGTAATTTTCCTAACCTTTTGCCCCCTTTGGTCTTCTGTTTTATATAACAGTAATGCATACGCAACTTTTGCAATGTTGTGTGCAGGTTATGAAGCATAAAAAAGTGAAGCTCAGGGGCCAGAGGAACTGTACAGCTGAGAAGGGCATTTGCCCAGCACGCGGCCAACCAGGTTCAATCCTTGGCATCCCCATGTTGCTCCCTGAGCCCCACCAGGAGTGATCCCTGAGTTCAGAGCCAGGAGTAAGCCCTGAGCAGTGACCCAAGACAATAACAAAAATGAAGCCCAAACCTACCCCCATTCTTGAGATGAACACCATTGAGTTGAGTTCACCCTTTTTCCTCCTGCCATTCTGACCCTACCACACACACAGGCGTCCAGGTGCCTGAGTGTCTCTTGTTTCTTTAAAAAAAAAAACTCTTTGTGTGTGTATCTAAACTGTGGACTCTTCTACTTTGTTCCTGAGTTTCATAAAAAAGGTGCCATGCTGGGACCATTGTTCCTCAGGCCCATGCCTGTTGTCTACAGCTGTCGCTCTTTTGCCCACCCTGTCATGGAACATAGTACATTGCTCTAAGTTCCTGCCGTTCCTCATGTAGGAGTGTCTCTTGAGGACAACAGTTCCAGACTTCCTTGGCCCCATCCCCTTTCAGAAAAAATTGACTCCGTGACCTCTGGAAATATATCAAGACAGGAAGATGGATCGAGGGTTGGGCCTCCTCTGGCAGTGCTCAGGAGTCACCCCTGGTGGTGTTCAGGGGACCATATTTGGTGCCAGAGTTTTGAACAAGGGTGTCACAGCCCTGTGTGAGGCAGGAGCCCTGTGACCTGCATTATCTCTCTGGGCCCTCCAAGTCCACTCTAATTGAAGAAGCAGAAAACACCCCCCAGTTGCATCCTCTGGTTTGTCCCGGGCTCTCTTCATAGCCACTGACAGCATTTCTCAGCCTTTCTCTGACTGGTTCTTTTCTCATCATGTCTGTTTCCTTTGCTTTGTCCCCTGCTCCTTCAACCTCAGGATGGCTTAGGACCTCATTTTGTGCTTTGCATGTCCCCTGCCCCTGAGTTCTCACCCTGAAATAACCCAGGAGTCGACAGTCAACTGCTGGTTGAGGGATGCTGTCTTAATAGTCCCGAGAATAGTTGCCCTGGGTTGTACGTGTGCAAATGTTGAAGAAAAGGAACATGCAAGTTTTTAAGAGCCTTTGTACCAGTTTTTATTCTCAGTGGCAGTGACTCAAGGTTCTCACTTCCTTGCCACTAACTGGCAAATCCAGCCCCCTTGAATTTTGCCTGTGCAGTGAACAGCGAATGGTCTCTCATGAGGATGTAGACCTGTTCCTTTACCAGAAGTCTTCCTTACCTTCTCTCCACTCTCTTCACCTCTTGGTCTACTTCTGTGAGTTCTGGATTTGTGATATTAGAGATTAAAGTGTTGATAACAGAGACATTTCGTCTGATTCCCCCACCATCTCTTCTGAAGTGTAGTTACATGGTTTTTAGTTTGGCTACTTTAGTTATAGCAGATAATATTTTCTGTAAATCAGTGAGGACAGGGACGTGGCTCAGCAGTCTGGAGCATGAGTCTGGAGCGGTCTGACCCCAACACTGCACGGGCGCAGAGCACTGCCAGGTGTGACCCTAAGACAAAGCCAGCGTAGTTGAGTGGATTATGAACGAGTCTGGCGTTAAGCTAGAATTCATCATCTATTTCTGGACCCTTAAAGCAAGCTTCTGAACCTGGAAATGAAGCTATATTTGAGTATAGTTACCTTTATAAAACTGTCTCTTATATATTTAAAATCAATCACTATAGCAGTACTCTTATATAAAGGAGAAAAAATGATCAGTCACTATTATGAAAAGGACTCTTGAGACTCCCAGAGTAATTGTGAAAAAGTTGTGAGTCTCAGCCAGGGGGGCTGGGGAGGTGGTTCAGAGAGCAGGAGCCCCACCAGTATGGCCAGGAAGAGCCCCCAGCACCGTCAGGTTTGGGTCCAGAAGGTCTGGGTGGGAGAAACAGACTCCTTTCTGTCACCGACGGCTTTCAGGACGTTTACATGCTCTGGAGTGAAGTTGCCTTGTGTTTTTTCTTTCCTAAGACAAGCCTACCAATGTTCAGAAGTCGACAGTTCTCCGTGAAGAGGCGATTTAGTGACTTTCTGGGCCTGTATGAGAAGCTCTCCGAGAAGCACTCTCAGAACGGCTTCATCGTGCCACCTCCGCCTGAGAAGAGCTTGATCGGTAAGCCCACTCCTTCCTGGCCAACTGCCGCCCACACTGTGCTCCCTGTCTGGCCCTGCCCAGGGCCGAGGCTGTGTCTGTGAACTCGCAGTCTGCCCAGGGAAGGAAGTTTCAGAGCTTCCTGGGGCAAGGTCTTTGTGCATAGTGGGAAGAGCAGGCGAGGTGTTGCCATCTCATCAGCTGCTGTGTGTTCTTCTAGTCCCAGGGCCCTTTCTTGCAAATCCTGCAAATCCTGGACTTAAGAAACTTCATCAGTTTGAGGATAGTTTTGTTGGTTTTTTTTTTTTTTTTTTTTTTTTTGCTTTTTGGGTCACAGCTGGGAACTGAACCCGGGTCGGCCGCGTGCAAGGCAAACGCCTCACCCTCTGTGCTATTGCTCCAGCCCCGAGGATAGTTTTAAGAATCACTCCATACATGCAGTAAAATTGGAAGGAAACAGAGATTAACCTGGCCCTCGTGCAGTGAAGCACAGACAATTCTGAGGAGTTTCATGGATTTTGCACACAGTTTGTGTGCTTTCACTCCCTGTCTATCTTTGTCTCTGTCTGTCTCTCTGTCTCTCTCTTCCCTTTCTCCTCCTTTTCCCCATTCTCCCTCTGTCTCCCTTTTGTCTCTTTTTCCCCTCTCCCCCGCCCCCCACTTTTCTCTCCTCGTTATGTCTTTCTCTCTCCCTCTCCCCCTCGTCTCTTCTCTCTGCCTCCTTCCCCCTTTTTCTCTCCCCCGTCTGCCTTCTCTCCCTCTCTCTTTGCCCCTCCTCTTTGCATCTCTTAATTTCTCTTCCCTGCCCTTTTCTTTCTAAATTAAAGTATTTCATTCAAATAATAAGAAATCGCATCCAAAGCCAGGAATGTGGCTTTGGATTTGACTCCGGGCATCAGGACCCAAACCTCAGTGGCTAGTGTGTGGCGCCAGCTGCCCGTGCCCGCCCAAAAAGACTGGCCTGGGCTGTGTTTGGCGGTTCTGTCTTCTCACCTGAGGACTTTGATTTTTAGCAGGTTTATTCTTTGCTTGATGATTTTATGGTTCATTTTCCTTTTCCACTTCCATTGTAGGAATGACTAAAGTGAAAGTTGGGAAAGAAGATTCTTCTTCTGCAGAATTTCTTGAGAAACGGAGGGCGGCTCTAGAAAGGTGAGTGATCCCACACACTTTCTGAAGAGCGTGAGAACAGTGAGGCCAAGGTGGAGTGTTGTGCTGAGTTAGGGTAGAGGAGCCGGGGTGGGTTTCTCTGCTCTTGCCCTCCCCGCCAAACCAGCTAGACCAGCGTTCTTCCCCGAGTGAGCGGAAGATTTTGTCCTTTATGAATTAGCAGGGCTGGAGCGATAGCAAAGCGGGTAGGACGTCTGCCTTGCACGCAGCCAACATGGCCAACCCGAGTTCGATTCCTCCGCCCCTCTCGGAGAGCCTGGCAAGCTACCGAGAGTATTCGATATGCCAGACACAGTAACAACAAAGTCTCCAATGGAGACGTTACTGGGCCCGCTCGAGCAAATCGATGATCAACGGGAGGGCCTTTACTTTACTTTATGAATTAGCAGATAGGGTGTCTGGAGAGCTCTTTCTGACCACTTTCTTTGTTTATGGAATGAATTGCCGTGACCGTAAAAGCAGGGCTTGGGCTGGAGCAATAGCACAGTGGGTAGGGAGTTTGCCTTGCACGTGGGTTCGATTCCCAGCATCCCATAGGGTCTCCTGAGCACTGCCAGGAGTAATTCCTGAGTGAAGAGTCAGGAGTAACCCCTGTGCATCACCGGATATGACCCAAAGAGCAAAAAAAAAAAAAAAAAAAAAACCAGGGCCTTGGTGCCAGAGAGAGAGTGGTGGGTTAGACACTTGTCTCACAGGTGTCCTACCCCAGTACCACCAGGAGTGACTGCTGGGTATGGTTCAGACATGCACTTGTTCCCCCTCAAGGAGAAGAATCATACTGTATTTCTTGGATATTTCTAAGTTAAAAGATACTGTACCCTGCCAGCACTGCATGGCGTCCAATCCTGTGGCCAGGTCAGCTAACCAGTTGGTGACCACTCACTCCGTAGGTACCTTCAGAGGATCGTGAGTCACCCGACCATGTTACAGGATCCCGATGTCAGGGAGTTCTTGGAGAAAGAAGAGGTTAGTATTACCCAGACTGAACTGCATAGCCAGCGGTCTGCCCCGATGGAATTGAACGGCTTTGTTCAGCTGCTTTTTTGAACATCTGAGGTGCATAGAGCCTGTCCCGGTTTGTAGGCTGTCTCAGAAGTGGGTCGTTGTAGAGGTCACCTGCAGCCTACAGTGATGGCTAGGTCCAGGCCATGCTCCTGGCCTGTCTTAGAGGCTTTTGACTGACCAAGTCAGGTGCTTGCTTTGCGAGGATGAGGGTGTTCAGCTCAGAGCCACAACCCACAGAGCCGCCAAGGTGTGAAAGAGTTGATGCAAGTAGATAGTCATTCACAGGCTGCACCGGGTGTTGGGGAGAATTGAAGATAGTCCCTGTACTGACAGTTGAAGCATCAGGAAAAGAGCTAGTGTGGCAGGTCCTTTATTCTTAAACAGAAGGTGTCTTTGGAATCATATATTAAAAGGATTGTGAATAGTGAAGGATGAAACATATAAATATAGCTTCAAAAACACTATAACAAAACACTTGTGTTTCAGGAAGGAAGACTAGGACTAGAGTAGAACTATCATATCCTTTTAAGGTTTCGTTTTAATTTTTTTTCTTTAATCTGCATAGAGTAATTATTACTCTACTAGGAAAAAATGGCACTAAATATATGGCTTTTTTTAACCCCAAAATGAAATATTTTAATTAAAAATATAATGCTCAAAAAATATATAATGCTTTGTTTTTATCCCTGCTCTGTGATTCATACGTCTGCTTTCTTTCACCCTTATCCCCACTGTTCTCTGTAGAGAAGATGTGACTAAGATACGCTTCCTGCATATTAGGAGACTCCACAGCACCTTTCCTCTCTGTCCATCCCTCTCCGTGGGGTTGGGGTGTAATTTCTAGAGTGCTCGGCAGCTGGGCCAGGCTGTCTGCATGAGGGCAGGTGTGGGTTTTTGGTGTTTGTTTGGAGGAGGGTGGAGGGAGCACCAGGCAATGCTCAGGGGTAACCCTTGGGTCTGACTCAGGCATCACTCCTGGCAGGACTTAGGGAACCATATGAGATGCCGGGATCAACATGACTGGTGACCATAGGGGACAAAAAGTCCCCAAGTTGAGAACTGTCCCCAGAGTCCTCCCCTTTTTAGCCTGGTAAGCTCTATGCACTATAGATTCAGCAATTTTTCCCTGCTGTAGGAAAGAAGTGATGTGACTGACCAAATAGTTTTCTAAGTATTTGCATCATCCATAAAAATATTTTCAAACTAAATGAAGTCTTTGGACTTTGGTCCAGAAAACTTGAGCCTTTGCTTACTAAGGAACACCTGCCTGGAGTTGTCCTAGAGCTTCGCAGGTGCCTTTCCTTTTGTGGTGGAGGTGCTATATGGAGCTGAGGTGAAACCCCGGGCTCGTTCTGTAAGGCTCTACACGGAGCTCCAGTCTCCAGACCTGGTCAGCTGAGTGCCAGGCTGCTTATCCACAGAAACCTTTTACTTTGCGATCCGCTGTGGTTGAGGGTGGGTAAGCAGTTCCGCTCCTAGGCCCCCTGTTTCTGTGCTTGGCAGCCAGGGTTGGCCATTTGCTGCTTGTGTTTAAACAGCCCTATGATCGTTCTTTCTCTCCATTTGTAGTTAGTAGGTTTCTCTAGCTGCCTTTGACAACACCAGTGTGTACCTGACATGTGTTTTGCTATCCAAAGGATAACGATTCTTCCCGACCTGACCTAGGGCAGCAGATAACTTGCCATCCTCGCCTTCTTGGTCTTGTAGCTGCCACGCGCTGTGGGTACCCAGACACTAAGTGGTGCTGGTCTCCTTAAGATGTTCAACAAAGCCACAGATGCAGTCAGCAAAATGACGATCAAGATGAATGAGTCTGACATTGTGAGTATGGGGCCCCTCAGCTTCCGTCCCCCTTCATCCCGGGAGCACACAGAGGAGCTCGCAGGTTCTGAGCATTGGCACGCAGAGACAGTTCGGTCTCTCTCCCTTTCCAAAGAGCCGGGAAGGAACGGCTGTGCTGAGGCCATGTGCATATGTTTCAGTGGTTCGAGGAGAAGCTGCAGGAGGTCGAGTGTGAGGAGCAGCGCTTGCGGAAACTGCACACAGTCGTCGAGACGCTCGTCAGCCACAGGAAAGGTAACAGCTCTGGGGCACGCTGGCCATGGCAGGCATCGTCGTTGGCGGGAGGGCAGGACAGGCTGTGCCCAGCCTCGCGGCCCACCGGGCCTTGGTGTTCTGATCAGAGATACCCCTCGCTCCTGGCTGTGACCCTGACTCTGCCGTGTGGGCAGTAGAGGCACACGGAGAAGCCAGCCCAGACACGGCTTGACTGGGGCTCGGGTCCTGACTGTGGCATGTATTCTAAATGTCACCTCTTCAGCGGCACGGTCCAGTCAGTGACAGGCAGATGTGCAGAAAATACATGTCTCCTGGCCTCCCCTTTTCTGAGATTGGCCAGTTTGGATGCCGTCCTCCTTTCCTTCATCAGAAATGGAAGTCAAAGCCACTAGAATGAGGACAGGTAAAGTGTGGCAAATAGGGCCTGGCCTCTGTGGGTCTGTTTCGGTAGGATGAAACTTGACTTGGTTTCTGTTTGTTGGGGCCTGGGTATTGAGGCATTCAGGGCCATGCTCAGGCTCCCTTCTGGCTGTGCGTAGGCAACGCGCAGTGCTGGGATCAGAGTAGGGTTGGCTGCAGGATGGAAAGTGCTGAACCCGGAGACTGTCTCTCTTCCTGTCAGGCTGGTTCCTTAGGGTGAATGGCGAGCCAGAAAGGTTGCTCAGTGGGCACATGCTTTGCATGCAGGGAGCCCAGGTTCAATCCCCAACACCTCAGGATTCCCTCAGCACCCAACCAGAAGTGACCCTTGAGCATCACTAGATCTGGCTTTCCCCAAGTAAAGGGTGAATGAAAGAAAAAGTGGAAGATTGGTCATTATTTGCAAACCCCAATATATGGGACCTGTCAGAGAAGTCTGTCCAGCTATCAGCTGTGAAAGACTGCAGCAGGCATGCGTATCTGGTCTCATCTGGGAAGGGTCAAGTCAGAATTGGGGCAGAAGCCTGAAAACAGTGGAGAAGGCCCTTGCCCGGGATGCAGCCAAACCACATTCCATTCCTGACACCAAAGCAGGACTTAACCCTGAGCACAGCTGGGTGTGGCCAGAAAGGAACCGAAGGATCGGAATGATTCCTTTGTGTCAGCTGTTCCCTACTTGTTCGGAACCTCGAGGCTGGTACACTGGCTATGTCGCACACCAGTTAGGCCCTAGTCTCTCCCCACAGCTTCACAGAACGGAGGTGTGTGTGTTGCGGGGCGGGGGGGGGGGGGGAATTATCGCTTGAACAAGGGCCTCTCCTGGCCCATGTGATGGATCTGTGCACACCCCTTGGCTGCTGCAGTGCCCGGAGGTGACAGGCAGTGCAGTTGAGGAGCCGTGCAGGCCAGCCGGTGTGTCCTCCTGCAGTGTCAGGCCTTTTTTGTCCTCTTCCAGAGCTCGCACTGAACACAGCCCAGTTTGCCAAAAGCCTGGCCATGCTCGGGAGCTCCGAGGACAACACGGCGCTGTCGCGAGCCCTCTCCCAGCTGGCCGAGGTGGAGGAGAAGATCGAGCAGCTGCACCAGGAACAGGCCAACAACGACTTCTACCTACTGGCCGAGCTCCTGAGCGACTACATCCGCCTCCTGGCCATAGTGCGGGTGAGCTACTGGTCCTCATTTCTCTCCTGTTGGAATTAGACGTCGCCTTTCCCTGGGAGAATCCATGTGATGCCGGAATCATTCTGAAACCCGCAGCCAGTTTGTTGGATGCGTTTGGAGGAAAGACCTTGTCGGGTTTTCCAAGAGGCCCCCACAGGACCCTCCCTGCTTGTGCCGCTTCAGGCAGGGTCGCCACACCCCGTGGCTCTTTCCTCTGCTCTTTTGTCTTGGCCTGCTGTGCAGTGAGTGTCACCGCTGGCCTGGGCAGAGCATGTGTTGCCTCGCAGACTTGGCTGGCAGTGCTCGGAGGTGCGCTCAGGGCCGAGAGCTTGTCATTGCAGCCCTTTGTGTACTGTCCTGCCCTCACGGGGCACAGCAGTGAGGTCTGCCCCTCGGCTATACGCACGGGGCCTAAAGAAAGCCTGGCGCCTGGTGCATGTGCCACATGTGGGGGGGGATCAGGCCTGTTGAGCCTCCGCGGAGGCCCAGAGTCTCCTGCGTCCTCTGTTCCCGTGACCTGCCAGGAGTCCCTCCATCTGGGCCCTGAGAGAACCCCTTGTCCAGCCGCGCGCCTCTCCCTTTGCTGTTGGTTTGCTGCTGACGGGGCGAGGCTAGTGAGGCTGCTGGGAGCTCCTGGCTCTGCTCAGTTGCCTTGACTGAGGCGCCACCTCGGGAGGGACTCTCTGGGGAATGGGCCTTGTTAGGGGTCTGTAGAGTGCTCTGGAATATGGCCAGTGGGGTGAGCCAGACTCTTCCTCTGGCTGCCGAGGGTTTGAGGACAGTGGTTTCTGCTCTTCCGTACCCTGAGAATGTCTGTCTGTCCGTGGGAGGCGGCCTTGTGGAATCCTCCTGCCTTAGCCGTGAGCCTGACTGCAGGCAGGCAGCGTCTGGGTGGCGTTGGGCTCTAAGCTTTGCGCTTTCAAGGGGCCTAGGGAGCCGCACGCCGGAACTTTGGCAGGACACGGGGTGCGGAGCTGGGCGGCTCGGCCTCAACCAGTGCCTTCCCTGGCCTGCAGTAGCTGTGCTCTGGGGAACTGGCTGCCCAGGTGACGCCAATGGCCTGGGCCCGCCCTGCAGCGTTGTCCTGGGTGCATCGAAGGCTGGCAGTGTCTGTCGGCCCGTCCTGGCATCAGCGCCCTCTGAAGGGAGCCGTGTGTCCTGCCCGCTGTGGGCCCTGCTCCCGGCGCTCTGGGGCGCAGGCAGTGCGGGGAAGCCCCTGAGCGCGGCTGTGCTGTTTGCCTGCAGGCTGCCTTCGACCAGCGCATGAAGACGTGGCAGCGCTGGCAGGACGCCCAGACCATGCTGCAGAAGAAGCGTGAGGCCGAGGCCCGGCTGCTCTGGGCCAACAAGCCTGACAAGCTGCAGCAGGCCAAGGACGAGATCACAGAGGTGAGGCCCCAGAGCAGGCCGGCCAGCCCCTCTCGGCAGGAGGGTCCACGCGGTTCTCAGAGACGCCCTCAGCTAGAGCAGAGACACCCGCCGGACGCAGACATGGGCTGTCTGTGGCTCCCGGGCACAGTCTGGGGGCGGGGGGGCCCTGACTGGTCTCTAGCCAGCCCGGGGGTTTGTCTGTGTGCGTTCCAGAGCTCGGTGCGTCTGGCCTGGTCTGGGGGACAGGCAGGGGAGAGCCCGTCATGCCGTGTCCCTTCTCTCCCTTCCAGTGGGAGTCGCGCGTGACTCTGTACGAGCGGGACTTCGAGAGAATCTCAACTGTGGTCCGGAAGGAAGTGATCCGTTTTGAGGTGAGGAAGGGCCCTGCCTCTCAGCCCGCATTCACCGGTCTCAGTCGTGACCTGGTTCAGGGGTGCCCGCGCCTTGCAGGTGTGAACTGGCATGTGTTCCTGAGACGCAGGGCACTGTCCTGTACTTCAGGGTCACACCTGTCCTGTTTGCTCTCGCCCACTGAGAGCCGTGGGTCTGGCTGCAGGGGCTTCTGATGGGGAGTGACCTGCTCCAGCGGCCACTCTCCCCCTCGGAGGCTGCTCGGCCTTAGCAGTAGCCACCACCCGCCACCACCCACCCCTGCCATTTCCCCACCCCTCGGCCTGTCAAGAGGCACAGAGCCGTTGTGTGGTTGCTGAGTGCAGTGTTCTCTCTCCTAGAAAGAGAAGTCCAAGGATTTCAAAAACAACGTGATCAAGTACCTTGAGACCCTCTTGTCCTCACAGCAGCAGGTACATGGCTCCCGTGGCCCACGAGGGAGGGGGTAGGACAACAGCTGTCCCCAGAGGTCACCCACTACCTTTGAGGAGGGAGCTTGGGGCCCATGGCAGCCCGGGCCCCCTCCCCTGCCCTGTGCTGGTCCCGGGAGTGCACTGAGGGCCCTGCTCACTGTCCCTGCTTCCTTGCAGCTGGCCAAGTACTGGGAAGCCTTCCTGCCAGAGGCTAAGGCCATCTCCTAATGACCAGAGACGCCAGAGCCACCTGCCCGACGCTGCCTTTTTATACACTCTGTCTTCCTCCGCCGGAGCCCAGTGACCGTCCTCTGGACCCCTCCACCCCCCGCGACTGTGCCATCCCTGCCACCCTTAACTGTTCCGTAGCTTCCACATATATTTTCTTACCTGAGAGAATAGTTTCTTGCTTTAAAGCAAAAGACCTCCAGTAGGTGGTGGAATTATGGGCTGGGTGGACTATGATATAAATATATAAATACAAATGTATATTTTTCAGGATGTGGTTAGGAACTGGGAATAACGTTTTCTGTTACTCCTGATGGTGCCATGAAAAGATTATGTAATAAAATCTTTAAAAATCAGGTCATGTGATTGGAATGGTGATGTCTGCTTCAGGCTGGGAGCAGGGGGTCAGGATCCTGATGGGGAAGGTTCTCCGACAGCATTTCAGGCCTCGCCGTGGTGCTGCTTCTCAGCTGCCCTTCCGGAGGGACACCTGCGTCTGTGTGATTCTGATTCTAGCTTCTCGAGGGAAGGAATTCATCCTCGCTTTTCTTTTTTTTTTTTTTAAAATTGAACCACCGTGAATTACAGAATTTCAAAGATATTTATAATTCTTTCAGGCATATATTATTCCACCACCAACCCCTTCACCAGTGCCTACTACCCTCCACCAATGTCCTCACTTTCCGTGCTGTCCCCAGCCCTGCTCTGTGGCAGGCCCTTCCCCTCCCCACTGTCCTCGTGTTCCCCTCCCTCACTCCTCCCCTCCCCCAGTGCCAAGCTTCCCTCTGAAGGTCAGTTGTCCTGCTCTTTGTTTCTGTTGCCATCAGGCCTTTCATGTTCTTGCAAAATTTCTCTATATCTCACATATGAGATCATTCATTCCGAGTCTCCCTCTGGCTGATTTCATTCACCATGATGCTCTCCAGAGCTATTCGTGTTGCGGCAAATTGCATGGCTTTATCTTTCCCTGAGGCCTAAGGAAGAGTTGCTGTCTGAGCAGGGGGGACCAGCAGACACCCTGATGTCTGCTAGCTGAGGGCGGCGGTGGCGGGGTTGTCTGCATTCTCCTTTCTGCTGTGGCCACAGCCACTCCAGGACTGGGCGTTGCAGTGGGGTGAGGCTGGCAGACCACCCACCCGGGGAGCCCTGCCATCCCCACCCCCAACCCCAGAGATGCTTCACCTCTGGCTGCTCCTACACCTGCTCTGGAGGTGCTTTGAGTTGGCTTGGGAGGGAAGGACAGCCAGTGGAGGGATAGCTGATATTCATGCAACTGAGGTGGCTTGAGGTGAAGGGACAGCCAATGTCCACCCGGTTGAGGTGACTCAAGAGGTTAGAGGAAGGGGCTGGAGTGGTAGCACAGTGGGTAGGGCGTTTGCCTGGCATGCGGCCGACCCAGGTTCAATTCCCAGCATCCCATATGGTCCCCCAAGCAACACTCATAGTAATTCCTGAGTGCATGAGCCAGGAGTAATCCCTGTGCGTTGCCGGGTGTGACCCAAAAACAAAAAAAAAGAGGTGGAGGGACTGCCAAAGTCCACCCAGCTGAGGTAATTCAGGGTAGAGGGACAGCTGATGTCCACCCAAATGAAGTGGTTTGGGATGGAGAGACAGCCAGTGTCCACCCAGCCCTTGCGCCTTCTGGGTTGCCAAGGCCAGCAATGTTTTTGAGGTTGAGTCTCCTTCACGACAGCTCCCGCTGTTCCTCCTCTGGTTTGGTCCCTTTCATCTGTGTGCCGCCCTTGCTCGCTCTGGTGATGAACACAGGACATCTTGTATCGTGCCTTTATTTTCCAGAGCATAGTGTTTTTCTCTGTTGTCATGTTTAAACTCCACAGTGGCAGGGAGACCACCTCGGAGAGAGTGCTTTCCTTGCAGGGGGCCTGGATTCAGTCCTTGCCGTCAGAGCCCCCCTAGCTGGAATGAGCCAACGTCAGCAGCTGGGGTCCAGTAGTGGGAGAGAAGGAAATGACTGAAATAGACCCAGGAAAAGGCAGCCAATCCCTAGCTGCCCCTGCCGGAAGGTCCCTAACCGCCTGAGGCCCACCAATCAGGGAATGGGTCTGTTGGCAGTTGGGGTTCGATGTATAAAAGGAGCCCGAAATGGACTCGCTTGCTTTCTGGGGAGACAGCCTGATCGATTGATCAATCAGTATCTGGATTCTGTGCTTGGCGCAAAATAAAGCTCTGCTGAATCCCGTTTGTTCCTCATTCCTTAGATCGCTCGTTCCTTAGATAACGGACCCAGACACTTGCCATTACAGGTCCCCGAGCACTGCGAAGTTTCACCTCTGAGCATCACCAGATATGGCTCACAAATTAAACAAAACCAAAACTCCTATAGAGTAACTACCATAAGAATTCTAAGTCATTCCTTCTTGTTGGAATTTTTAAAAAAAATTTTTATTAATGAAACACCATGAGGTACAGTTATAGACTTAAAAATTTTTGTGCTTGGGTTTCAGTTATACAATGATCAAGTACCCATCCCTCCACCAGTGCCCATCCTCCACCACCACGGGTCCCAGCATCCCTCCCACCCCCCATCCCCCCCGTCCCACCCTGCCTCTGTGGCAGGGCATTCCCCCTTGTTCTGTCTCTCTTCTTTTGGGTACTGTGTTTTGCAAGAGATGCATTGAGTGGCAATCATGTTTGGTCTATAGTCTACTTTCAGCATGCTTCTCCCACCCTGGGAGGATCCTCACAACACCCTTTATTTGGTGCTAATCTTCTCTGTATCGTTCCAATTTTAGTATATGTGCTGCCGAAGCAAGCACTCTTGTTGGATTTTTGGTTTGTTTGATAGCTTTTAAAATTTTAATAGAATTTCAGATTGATAGAAAAAGGTAGAGGACTACTAGAAAGAACTTCCCTATTTTCTTTTTACCAGGTATTTACATTTTACCCCATTTGCCATAATTTACTTTTACTTACATTTACATGCTGTAGTGTCTGAATTATTTGGCAAGTAAGTTACACACGTATGCCTTCATGCTTTTCCTTACGAGCAGGGCCGTGTTCCCATAACTCTATCTGTAAGTGGAGTTTTCAACACCTGTCCTGTTCTAGTCGAGACACACAGGTATGGTCATGGTAGTCACCGGGGCTCCGTGTGCTTGCAGCTCACCAGATGCCACTCTTCCTACCTATGGGTCTTAGTACTGGGTCTACTGTCATGATGTGTCCACTCGCCTGGCTGTACTGTGGCCGGAACATCCTTCTGGTGCTGGGGATGTAGCCAGCAGTGCACTAGGTCAGAAAGCTCAGCTGCATGGCCATGCATTTATAGGCACATTGCATGGCTTCATCTTTTCTGACAGCTGCATAGAATTCCATTGTGTACATGTGCCACAGTTTCTTTATTCATGCATCTGTTCTTGGTCACTCAGGTTGTTTCCAGATTCTGGCAATGGTGAACAGTGCTAGAGTGAACATAGGAGTGCAGATGGTGTTTCTGCTCTGTGTTTTTGGGCCCCCTGGTATATTCCCAGAAGTGGACATGTAGAGTATCATACTGAATGAAATGAGTCAGGAGAAGGACAGATATAGAATGACGGCATTCATTTGTGGCATGTGTGTGTGTGTGTGTGTGTGTATATATATATATATATATATATATATATATATATATATTACGGTCACAGTCCTCCCATTGTTCATCGATTTGCTTGAGCTGGCCCATTGTGAGACTTGTTACTGTGTTTGGCATATCGAATACGTCACGGGGAGCTTGCCAGGCTCTGCCTTGCAGGTGAGATACTCTCGGTAGCTTGCCGGGCTCTCCAAGAGGGGCGAAGGAATCGAACTCAGGTCAGCCATGTTGGCTACATGTAAGGCAAACGCTCTACCCACTGTGCTATATCGCTCCAGCCCATATATATATGCACATGCCTCAGGCAACCACAAGCGAACATCCGAACTGGCAAAACAGTGCAGAGAAGCCATCAAGGATGACCTCAAAAACAGGAGAGCAGCAGTACTGGTAGATGCGGCAGAAGCTGGGAAAAGCATTCGTAATGCCCGCCTGTCCTTCACCAACTACAAAACCAAGATGACTGCCCTCCGACATCACGATGGATCTATCACATCTTCCAGAAGGGCAATGGAGAAGATTATTCATGACTTCTACTCAGATCTCTTTAATAGCCACGTCCACTTGCCCACATACCACATACCACATGATGGATATGTCGTTCCCAATGTTCTCCCTTCCGAAATCCAACATGCCATCTCATCGGTAAAGAAACAAAGAGCACCTGGCCCAGACAAGATCAGACCTGAACACCTGAAGAACTTACCATCAGTACTCATCAATACATTGGCTCGGCTCTTCACATGCTACCTGTCTGAATGCAAGGTTCCATCCCAATGGAAAACCAGCAGGACTGTACTACTATACGAGAAGGGAGACATCCACGACATTGGCAACTATCGCCCAATCTGCCTATTGTCTGTCATCTACAAACTATTCACTCGAGTCATCCTGAATAGGATTAGCAGAACACTAGATGAAGGACAACCATGTGAACAAGTCGGATTCCGAAAAGGATTCAGTACCATCGACCATATCCACATGATTACTAAGCTCATTGAGGTTTCTCGGGAGTTCAAGATGCCGCTCTGTCTAACGTTCATTGATTTAAAGAAGGCCTTTGATTCTGTTGAGACGGAAGCGGTCATGGAAGCCCTAGCCAATCAGGGCGTACAAACTCAATACATCAGGATCCTTCGTGAGCTCTATTGCGGATTCACTACCAAGATCTCACCATTCTACAAAGAAGTAATCATCCATATCAAGAGAGGGGTTCGGCAGGGTGATACCATTTCACCAAAACTCTTCAGTGCCACCCTCAAGAACATCATGCGATGACTGGAATGGGAAAGCATGGGAGTGAAGATAGATGGTCGGCAACTACACCAACTTCGCTTTGCTGATCGTTCTAATAACACCAAACATCAGCCAAGCGGCACAAATGCTGAACGACTTTAACCGTGAATGTGGAAAGGTTGGACTACAGCTGAATCTTAAGAAGACAATGTTTATGAGAAACAGCCTTGTTCCTGACGCTCCATTCACTCTCAACGGAACCACCATCTCCGAATGCAACAGTTATCTATACCTAGGTCGAGAAATCAACATGATGAATGACCTGGCACCTGAGTTGCGCAGGAGGAAGAGAGCGGCTTGGAATGCCTTCAAGAACGTTGAAGAAATAACTAAAAGGACAAAGAACCTCCAGCTACGAGCACATCTCTTTGATTCCACTGTTCTTCCTGCATTAACATATGCCTCAGAGACCTGGGCCCTACGAAAACAAGATGAGAACGCTATTCAGGTCTCTCAAAGAGGAATCGA